TTTAATAAAAGATGCTTTACAAAGCCATTTAACAAAGTTTAGAATTTCATTGGACAGTCAACAAGGGTTCACTAAGGAAAATTCTTGCCTTACAAATCTTTGACATTCTTTGAAAAGGTTACTGCTTATGTAGATGAGGTTTCTGGATTTTTGGAAAGCACTTGACAAGGTGTCACATGAAAGGTTTATACAGAATTATCTCTATAGGTGTTGAGAATAAGTTAGCTAATTGGATAGAAGGGTGGCTGGATGGAAGAAAGCAGAAAATTGTTATAAATGGAGTTCAGTGAAAATGGTTTAATGTCACAAGTGGGGCACCTCATGGCTCATTCTTAGAACCTTTGCTCTTTTTGATTTGCATCAGTGATATAGATAAAGAGATGGTCAGTAAATTACTTAAATTTGCAGATTATATTAAGATTTTGGGTGTTGCTAGCTGTGAAGAGGATGCTGCTGATTTAGTGAGTTGGGCAAATAAATGGCAGAAGACTTTTAATTATGATAAATACAAGATAATGTATGTGGGTTATCATAATTTTAATTATAAGTATAATTTGGATGGGAAGAACCTTAATAGTGTTATGAAGGAAAGGGATCTTAGTGTAATAGTAAATCAGTCTCTTAAGCCACCCAAGCAGTGTGCTGTTGCTAGTGGTAGAGCAAATAGAATTTTAAGTTGTATCTACTGAAATGTTGGCTATAATTTCATTGTAGAGGTCACTGGTTAGGCTACATTTGGAGTATTGTGTTCACTGGCTTCTTGCCCTAGGAAGCACATTAAATTGTTTTTTCTTAAGAAAAAAAAAGAGTTAGAGGGGGATCTGATTGAAGTGTCTAAGATTATAAAGGGAATTGATAGTGTTGATGCATCATCTTTTTTCATATATTTCAGTGAGAATACTAGGACTAGGGGACACAAACATACATTTGGGTAGGGTAGGAGTTATCTTCAGCTAAGACAGTTTAAATAACAGGGTGGTTGACCTTTGGAATGGGTTGTCTTCAAATGTTGTGGAGGCAGTAAATTTAAGTGAGCTTAAAAGTAAGCTTAATAACTATATGAGTGATAAGGGCTGGTTTTAAGATTTTTGAATTTATTTATTTAATAGTTTTGGTTTAGTTTAGAGGATGGAACAGCCCAAAACATTATGATATGTCATTATATTAAATGTGTGATGTAATGAAATGTTGTAGGACTTGGGAAATATTTATTTGTAAGGTTTCTATTATGACAGTTAATTATCTCGTACGATATGGGTTTCATAATTGTCTAGAGAAGGCACAAAGTCAGTATCCAACAAAGGGTATAGGGACTGAGGTCAAATGTATTGTTGAGTTTTTGAATATGAATATTAAAAAGATTAATAAATCATGCCTAACATTGGAGAATCGCAAGTAGTTTCTGCATATTGTGAAATGAATTGTTACTAACAAACAGAAGGAAGAAGAAAGACTTACACTATCATTTTCGTTCTTATTAAACGAGATAAAGTTGAGCAGGAGAAGCTAGCATCACAGTGTGTGTGTATTACTGCTTGCGACCTAACCTCCCCTTTACTTTCTGAGTAACTCTTTCGTTATTTAACCATTGATATTTACCAGCCTGAACAGACGTATGCACAAGATCGACTCTTCAACACTAGTACTTAGTCCTGGTCATGACAGTAAGCTCTAGTCATGAAATGTAATATTCCAGGACTGCTCCTTGTGGATCTAATACTTCACAACAACAGTTTATCACACAGTATGTGACTGGTATTTCCTTTGAAATTGGAGATAAGTACAGTGGGTTGTTTTACTAGTGGTACCTAAGTCTTCAGTGTCACCAAGAGACATCCTTGCCTCTTCCGACAGCACACATGCAACATGTTCTTGATTCAGCTAATCACATCTGGAGACAAAGACAGCCTGCCAACTGTTCGATGCAATTAATATTTTATGAAAAAACACCCTAGCATACTTTCAAAATTAGATGGCAAAATGACAACAATATATATTAAATTAACTGAGGGTGCCAGTTAGGGAAGCAAAAATTGTATGAAGGACAAAGATAGATAATGTTCCCCTTTTGCTCCCCAGTGGCACAGCGGTATGTCTGCGGACCTACAACGCTAGAAACCGGGTTTCGATACCCGTGGTGGGCAGAGCACAGATAGCCCATTGTG